CCTCCTTTCAAAATCCTGGCTACATCCCTGGCGCATGGCGCCATGTTGTCACCAAATAGCGTGCGCGCGCATTAGCTTTGCAACACTGATGCTGCATAATCTTTCTTTTATTATTCTGTTCATGAGGACAATTCAATTATGGGATTTTAATATAACCTATCGCGTTAGTTTGTGGCTCGCCAATGTTTTGTTTCAGTGACAACATGGCCGGTGTAAGTCATGCGATTGCGATCCACCCAATCACACGCGCGTATAGCAGAATCCTGTGAAACCGAGTTGGCCAAACTCTCTCTATTAAGTAGTATTTATTTCATTTCATATCAAAGAAAGCTGCACACAGTATTACTCCTTGTTTGTCAACATTTTTATGGACTGGACCCATGTTAATTGATTGGGCACTTATTGCAAAATTAAAAAAACTCAGAGGGGGCGTTTATTAGAAGGGGGTGTTTATTAGAGATAATACGGTACTTGACATTCAATGATCAAACACACAGCTAACTTGCTCTTCCTTTCATTTTTATTTACACAATATAAATTAATACCATGAAATTACAAAAATTCTGGAATTTACTAATCTGTACAGTAGGCCTAGTCTAATATTGTACAATATTCATTTATTTTCACTTAGGCCTACTACATCAATATCATTAATCACATCCATTTACAGTTCTTTTTTGGCATCTGTTAGTTTTATATTGTATTCAACAATAGTAGTAGTCTCTTTGCTGCTAAGAGAAGAGCGGAATTTGGATGTAGTTCAATCATGGCAAACAAGTCTGTAAACATAAAAAAATAACGAAAATATTATCTCAGTTTCAGTTTCTAGGTGTACGTAGCTTGACTTCAAAAACCTTAACTGAGGTTTAGACCTAAGGTATTTTAAGGCCGGTTGGCCTAGGCCTAGTCTATGCCCTAGCTAGTACAGGAAAAAAATGTCTCAAGGAGGCGGCTAGGCTTAGGCCAGGTAGGGTAACGACGAGTGCAGGCCTCTAAACCATCCATTTCCAAGTCACAAAACTGAATATAGAACGTATGATTTTTTTATCACAATCACATAAAACTGTTTAAAAAGAAGTCAACATACCTTTAAATATCTTTCAACATCGGCCATTCCACCGTTCTTCACAGATATTACAGCATAACCAACAACATGGACCTACATGCTTTCAAACAGTATACTTTTTCCAGAGTTGAGTTCGTTGACCTAGATGGTGCGCCACCAGTGGCGAACGTACTTCTTGAATTGTGAATTAAAAGCACATGAATTTTGCGTTTCTTCGCTGGAGCCATATTTTTACTTATCATTTTCGACTATTAATTAATAATTGTGTGATTATTTTCATGAAACAGCTCGATAAAATTAACTTTATGCAAAAAGTTAGCTGTAGGCCTGTTCTACGAGTCAAAGGGCGTGTTGTTTACGGGGTTGTTTAGATATCAAATCACACTGCAGGCATGGTCTCAGGCCGGACGAGGGAAGGATGGGCGCATCGACTTTTTTAATAAACAAAGAGTATTGTGATTCCGTGTTTTCAGCAGCTACCGTAATTTATTGCAAATGCATTATAAACAGTGATGGTAGGGAGTGGAATAAACTTATTTGTGATTGTTTACGATTGGTTTTTAACAAGTTATGTTTTTATCTAGGCCTAGGCTAAGCTGATATTCAAAATTAAATAGCCTACTCAAATTTTCAAAAATTTACGGAAGAATATTTTTCATGCGGTAGAAAAACGTAAGCTTACGGTAGCGCGGTAGATCGTCGCTAAAAGCAGTAGACTACCGCAAGTAGCGGCAGACTTTGGATCTCTGGTTTTGGTAATTAAAAAATTGCCTACCGGTACTCTAGGCAATGGTTTCATTTTTTATAAATCACTGTATATGTTTCATAATAAAATTTGAACCCCCACCACACAACGACTGGGACGGAGGTGACATGAGTGTGTTGCGTGAAAATTTGTTATCCGTGTATTTGACCTACTGTAGTTTGCGTAAAAAAATACACCAGTAGTGATCCAAGGCAGGGAAATCTGTTCCTACTACTACTGTATTAATTTTCTTACTTAATTTATGTTTTGATAAATTCTATCAATCAGTTTAAATCAATCAATAAATTTTCTTTTTTCTATGATCAATCAATACACACTTTTCCAAAAATGGAAATATGCCTAGTGATACGCATGTGTAGTGCTTCCATCAAGCAAGCTCATCTCCTCCTTGTCTAGCTCTCTCTCACATGCTTCTCCGATTCAGACATACCGGTAGATTAGAAGACCTTTGTTTCTGTCTCGCTTTTTATTTTTGCTACAGTAAGCCTTGTCATCCAATCATGTATTAGCGGGGCATTTTACCGGGACTATGAAATATATCCCAGCAATAGGTGGTCGGGACTTAGCCGGGGTTGTACAGTACGTTAAAATGATGCCCTGTGTTGCCGGGAGGTGGCCGGGACTTTAAAATGCATGTAACAGTTTTGTAAATTACATCCCCGGCTAGGCCTGGGGGTGGGGGACTGGGACTACAATTGAGAAGTGCATTACAATAAAAATTGCAGGTGTAAAAGTCTTGAATTATTTAGTGAGTTGTCTAAAATGACTTAGATTACAATTACAATTAGTGTCAGTTATTAATATTTCATTATTGTAGCTCACTTGATGTCAGTCTATTATACAGAAAAACTTCTCAGGCAGTGCCATTTCCAGACTCTAGAGGTACTCTGAACAAAAAGAAAATCCACACTCAGCCACAACCATGGTGAAAGTTAAAGGTAAATTAGGAGCTGGCTTGAGGTGGGTGTGGGATCTCAAGCCAGCAAATTGGCAGCTATGATTATAGTGACAATCTCCACTGCTCCTTGCCAACATCATTACCATCACCAGCATTAGGCCAAATAAAAAAAATTACTACAACGAAAAACATATTTTTAATGTGCTATTAAAGGCTGGAATAGTCCTATCTTGCTATACGGTAGGCGATGCAACAGTGTTATGCGATCGTTTTGCTCTTCAATATAGATTTTAAAATGGTCTTTGTTATTATTATTATTATTTATTCTTTCTTTAGACTGCATGCACTTTCAGTACTTGAGTACTGATTTTCAAAGTGGTACAGTTACTGTACAAACAAACCATGAAATAGAAAGAAGATAATACTGTACAAAATAAAGTCAAAAGAAGATTCAATGTAAAACTTAAAAATTATAGAACGTTGGAATGAAACTAGGGTCATTTCTTTAAATTTAGTTTTTGTTTCGTTTGGAAGTTCATTCCAACTTTTTGAGGCACGATATAAGAAAGTCCTCTTTACCTTGGCAGATATTCCAAGGTGGTGCAATTAAATCATTATGCGTTTGGCTACGTGTGCATTTTGAATGTATCATGATTAAAATTAAATTTGGATGTTTAGGTATGGAGGGGCATGCCCTTTTAAACATTTAAAAGTCAAAAGAGTTAACTGTTCATTCAATCTTACATTGAGTTTTCTCCAATCAAGGGAACTTATTTAAATATAATCAATAGGGGTCTTAATAACAGAAAGTAAAATCCTACCTAACCTGTTCATAAGGACTTGAAGACAATTAGTATTTTGGATACTACAATTTGAACAGACACAAACAATAATCAAAAAGAGGAATTACTAAAACATTAGCTAACATTTTAAGAGTATGTAAAGGAAGGTAGTATTTAATACTACGAATGACACCAATACGTTTTGAAACACTAGAAGACACTTGGTTAATATGATTATTCCAAGTAAGTTGTGGATCAAAAGTGATTCCAAGGCACTTAAAAGAATCTACTCATTCAATAGTTTCACCATTATAAGATACAGAGATGTCCTTAAATTTTGAAAGAATATGGCTAGTACCAAATACCATCAGTTTGGTCTTTTTGATGTTTAATGTTAGTTTATCATTAAACCAATTAGCTATTTTATATAAATAACAATTAAGATCATATTGAAGAGTGACTGGGTTAGAAGAGTTACAAAGCCTGTGTTCGGATGTAAACTCAAATACATGTGAAATCTAATAATAGCCTCGGGGCTAATTCTGATGGCCGTTCGGACGAGTAGAATAAGAACCGGTAAAACCAGTAACTTCTCTATTTTTGTTGTTACTGTTTAAAACTATACATAATCAAGCCTTTGTAACTTCATTTGGAGCTTCAAGTGATTTCTTTACCGTGATAGCAAAACTTTATTACACTTGGCACATGTCCGCCGCTAGACGATGCCATGTTGTTGTTGACTGTAAAACAACACGAATGTTGTAACAAAACTAATTTAAAAGATTTAAGAAGAATCAGGATGGTGGCGGTTGGGGAATAGCACTATGGATTGTTTAGTAAAAATAATAAATTGCATAAAATATTCAATTTCATTAATGGGTTGGTGCCCAGGATGATGTTCGGTGGGGGATGGTTTTAGTATGGACTTGCATCAAGGGCCCCCACGGTAGGCCCCTATACTCTCAGACTGGCTTTAAAATGGTTAATTTGGGGTTTTATGTTTTTTTATGGTTTTCATGGTTTTATGGGATTTCTTTTAATGGTTTTAGAAAATAAGTTCATTGAGGTCGAGATGACAGGGAAAAGAGCGGGAGGAAGACAAAGATTAAAGGTGTTACAGTAGATTGGATGATGAAGAGGTTTTGAGTTAGAGATGAAAAACAGCTAGGTGAGATCATAAACGACAGGAGAAAATGGAAGCAGAATGCACTATCCTGATCCATCCACAGCATTCGATGCCATGACACTAGAAGATTATGGTTTCCAGAATTTTTAGCCTGGTCTACAGTATAGCATTTCTAGATGTCATGTAGAATTTGCTTAGTGCTATGCAACTGAACAAAAAAACAATTACACTGTACAGTGGTAGTACAGAGGCCTAATGTTTAGACCATCGATTCATACAAATTGCCATGCCATACTTGCAAGTTATGAGAACACAAAAGAAAAATCAGTATTTTAGGAAGAAAACTTTAGCTATTTTCCTACCATATTGTTCATCTGATCCTGTTACTCCCTGCAGCACATCAGTATTGGCACTGTACAAATCTTCTTCATCTTCACTGATCGGCACTTCTGTTTCCAATGGTTTCTCAATTCTTTTACATACAGGTATGTCTTTTTCTCTTGAGTTGCCATCAAAATTCTTACTCTGGGTCACAGTTTGAGCAGCAATCTTTTCACATACTTCTGAAATGTTATCTGTTTTGATAACTTTTGAGTTAGTATGTTTTACATTCAGCATTTTGTCTTTTGGAACAATTTCACAGCTTTCGTTTTCAGTTGAGGTTCCAAATCTCTCACCAGAAATATTTGAATAACCTTTTTGAAATTCATTACAGAATCCTGGTGGGGTTGCTGCTCTCTCAAATTTCAACTCAGAAGCATTCAGTAGGTCATTGACTTCATAGCTCATGGATTCTGGGCCACCTTCTCCTTGCTGGTATTCATTCTCCTGGTATAAACTATCCTCTGAAGTTTCTGATGTGTCTTGATTTGACTTTTTTTTTGTATTTGTAGACTTTTTCTTTCTTTTTCTTTTTTCTTTACTATTAACAGTTTTTGCATTGTCTAAATCCACATAACTTGATTTGTAACTATAATGTTCTTTTCCTCTGTCCATGCTTGTTGATAAATCCCCTTTCTCAGGGATCTTCGCTTTCACATCTGGTTTCTTTTGTAGAGAGTCTGCCGACTCACCAGATGTAGAGGCTTCCTCTGATGACATCATGTCTGTTGGCATGAAACAACAAAAGTTCACAGAAAGCTTTTTACTTTTTGCTCTTTCGTTCTTAAATTTCTCCTGCTTTTTGTTATTCCCTTGAGAATTGCTCATTGCTTTTTTTGAAATGTTGTAATGTCGTTCTCTTCAAAAAATTTCAATAACCAGGGAGAAGTAATATGACATGTTGCATAAAGTATTTGTCCTGCAAATATAAAAATATGTCATACCAGTTCAGAATGTTTACACTGTATCAAGTTATTATCAGGCAGAAATGGTAATTAAGCAATCAATTACAACCAAATTTTAATCCTGTATCATGATATTTCATTCATTACACTTCAGGAACTGACAAAACAAGTGGATGCTAGTATTATGTTGGGATTCAATAATTCAAAATTAATTATGTCATCATCAGGAAAACAAAACAAAATTTAAATTTTATATTTTAGAGATTGAGAGATCTGGATTTACATGCTGTAATTGTAATTGTGTAACAGTAAATGAAGAATTGAAGCTTAGATGAAAGCTTGTATTACTGTAGGTTATCAAAAACAGTAGCAGTGTGGTGGAGATGGTAACTTATGAAATTCCAAACATTTTAAGTAGGGTAGTTTCCTTCCGTTGCTGAACCAGGCAGTACCTTTAGGAGACAACCCTTGCTCTTTTCCGAAGAATGCTTGGCGCTAATACAGTTTCACATCTGACCGTAAAATTAATTACTAATTATTAACACTTACAATTATTCAATACTAATACATTCCTTGATGATTTGACTTTTCCAATAATCCACTTATTTCCAATAATTATGGTTTCTAATTAAGTTAATTAACCATTAATTAAGACGGTTAACATCTTCACGGTGCACCATTTTCATACTGGGCTTGTTTGTAGTACATGTCAACAACTTTGAGGTGTTGCCAGAATCAGGGCAAAATTATACCAAGTTGCCATAGGTGTGCGCTGAGTTAAGCGTGCCTAGTGGAAATACTGTAGTATGAATGTAACTCAAAATGTTATTCTACTTTTCACTTTATTTTTTATCTTCATAAAAAAAAATACATACTACAAAGAGACGAACTACAAAACAATACAAGTTACGAAAAATACCTAATACAAAGAGATAAACTACAACATTTTCCACAACAATTGGTCACAAAATTTACAATTGGGTACAAATTATATGACAGACGCTGGAAACCTCGACAGTCATCGACCATGGTGTGGCGGAACAGAGTTGATTGAGTTGAGAGATCTTGTGTTACTATCAATTCGTAATTTTTCATTTTTGTCAAAAAGTGTCTATAGTGGTGAATTATGGTTTAGGTTTTTTTTAAATAAAGTTTCAAAAATTTTTATGTATGTGGAAAATGTAGTTGATTACCAAAGGTTGCAATTTTTATTTTGAAGACTGCATGGTCTAGGAAGTGTACATTTTTTTATGGGGCAAGTTTCCAAGGGCGGGTTTTCTAGGGGCGAGTTGACTGCCATAGAGTGTTGCCAAAGTGCGAGCCAGCGTGTTATTTGATCACAAGTGCGAGACATCACAAGTGTGAGCCAGCGAGCCATGACGTCCCGACAATGGATACGAGACGTTAAAGAGTTGTGCGAGGTATCGGCTGAGATTTGTGGAGTACAATTCAAAAAACAACTATAGGTCTAAAAATGAATTATTGTGATGTTAAATAGACAATGTTAGCTATCAAGGAGCGACGTTGTTTTTCATTGGGACCTTCGTCCCTTCAAGGCTAGGCCTATACCATCCTAGCTAGTCTAGGCCTAGAGTAGGATTTTTTATTTGGTGAGATGATTTAGTATGGGGAGTTTTCAAGGCGGCGAATTTTCTAGGGGCGAGTTTGTAGAGGCGCGTTGACTGCCAACGCACCACACAACGTAAGCATGATTGAATTTGAGTCAACTCGGCACCAAGTCAACTTGGCCACAGTTTCGCGGCCCCTAGTATAATACATTTTTAATTATTGTTTTAAAATGTAATAATTAGCATATTGACATAAATAAGTTTAACTGGGTCCGTAAATACTATAGGCCTCAAAATACTGTGCCAAGACTTGGGCCAAGTTGACATTTATACCGCCCATGGTTATAGTAAAAATGCTGAATAGTAATACTCAAGCGTCTCGAGCTGACGTAGAAACATAGTAAAAACGAGCGTTGGTACCGTGTATGCCAGTCTACAACAAGTGTCGCCTAAACGTAATAATTAGCATGCTGAAATAGGCTAGTAAATAAGTTTAACTGGGTTCGTAAATGATATTGGCCTCAAAATATTGTGGCTGAGACATGATTAAACGTAGAAATTTGAAACCTTGAAATATAGTAAAACGCCGAATATTAATACTCGAGCGTCGCAACATAAGGACGTTGGTACATGTAGGTTAGTCTACAAACGTCGCCTAAAGTAATTGATTTTACCCGGCAGAACGAAAGAAGGAAACTCCGCTTTTCAGTCGTCTTAGGCCCTGTGTATAAGAGACAGCAAACAATGACCTTTCAGTGGTCAAATTGCTGTCAAGAATATGAATTGGCTGCTTCGCAGCAATAATTTGGTAACCGTTTTCAGGGCTGGATGCAAAACCGTATTAGCGCCGAATATTCTACATAGGATATCACATAGGCCAGGCCTAGCCTAAGCTGCATGTCCAACAGGTATCCGATCATTTCGGTCGCGACCGAAATGCATAACAATACAGCGCGACCGAAATGAAGGCGCGACCGAAATGATCTGTATTCGTCCAACAGACATCTCTTCTGAAAAATGGAGTGCTCAATTGTAACTTGTATTTCAGCGCTCCAACTTAAAAGCAACTAGGCCTATTGAGAGCGACAATCCCGATTCCCAGTAACGTAATAATGAGCCATCTAGGCCTAGGCTAGGCGTATCTAGTAGGCCTAGGCCCCAGTAGTAGTACAGCAGCTAGCAAGCTAGCTAGCTATATTTGCATGGCCTAGGCCCCTGGCCTAGGCTAGGCAAATAAATAATTATTACACGAAATTTGACAGAAGTATAATATTAATACCTACAGTCTAGGCCGACTATCACATGAAGATCAACCAAGCAATAATGCTAGGCCTAGGCCCCCTACTAGGCCTAGTAGGGAGGAGGAAAGCCGGATTGGAGATAGCACAATCAAAAAGTCTCGTCGGTGTCAATGGTCAAAAAATGTTTGACCAAAGATCGTATAGCGCCGCCGTCTATAATCTTTGCTTCGATTGTTTTAATGCCAAAATGCACTAGGCCTATGTAACTAATGTTTGGAAAGGTTTTTGGGAAAATATTATTATTAATTGTAACTGTAATTGAATTTTTAATATATTGTAATTAGGCAAAAAACAAATTTTTGTGTTGGCCAAACGTTTTGGAAAAAAGGGGAAAAAATGGGTAGTTTGGTAAGAAAAAAAAAACAAAACTTTGAAATGCCGACCCTCCTTAATTTTGTAAAATTTGGGTTGGTCGGGCGCGCGTGGCCAAAACAATAATTTTTTTTTTTTGGTCTTATAACTTTTGTACTTGTAAGTGTAATTTACGTCTAGGCCTATGTTCCTCCATTTATTTTATACCTCCATGGAGCATGCAGAGACCTTAATTACCAGTTTAATTAGATAAAAAATATTAGGCCTTACGTCAAATTTTACATTTAGGCCTATTTGGTCCAATGGTGCATGAAGGGGAGAACGGGGCTTGATGATTAAACGAGGGGTCTAGCTCAGACATTAAGGTGAGGTGATTTTTAAGCATGATTGTTTTGCTCCAAACATTTTCAATGGGCGGCGTGGGGGGGGGGTGATGATAGGCCTACTATGAGGTGATTTTTATAAGCATGACTTATTTTTTTGCTTTAAACATTTTCAATTGGCCGGTGTTTTAAAAGGTGGGCGGGGGGACATTCCGTGAGACCACACCCACCTCAGCCCCACCATATTTGGGGAAGATCAGGCGAAAAAAAATGAGGAAATAGTAGGCCTACGTAGACTGCTCTCTGATGACTGGAAATACACTTATATAGGCCTATGTAAAATCACATGACCCTTGCTTATATACATAGTCAAAATGAAGCGCCAACAAATTTCTCCTATTCTTTAATCAGCGATTTTCGGACCAACAGTAATTAATAGAAAATAAATTTATAACTTTGTCTTTGATGTATTTACTTTACTTTACCTACTTTCAAACCGCAAGTCCAGATTCCCCTCAGTCCCACCATGGTTGGGGCTGAGGCTCGAAAATTTAAGAAAACAGTCTCCAGATGGCAGGAAATGGCACTCTTATATAATAATAAAATTCATCATCACATCACCATTATAGTCAAAATACCGCCAACAAATTTCTCATAATCTTTTATCAGCGATTTTCGGCTGTGAGATCTAAATAATCTGTGTGGTGTAGGCCTACCATAGAAAATAAAACTTTAAAACATTGTCTTTTATGTATTTGCTTTACCTTCTTAAAGCAGTGAGTCTACACCCATCTCAGCCCCACCATGTTTAAGACTGAGGCGTAAAAATTTGGGCAACTACCTCTGATGGCTGGAAATGACACTAGCAAATCATCATCATCACATCACCAGTTAAAATGAGAAATCACAATATAACTCGACTTATATTTTTTGTTTATGATTGTTTTAAGGCCCCGGTATTACGGTATACCATCAACTCCAGACAGAATTTGATTCGGCCGCTCAACAAGAAAAATAAATCATTTTTTCTGGCAGATTTTTAGTAGGACTATTGTACTTTACTTACAGAAAAATTAATTTCTGTTAATAGGCTTTTTCTGAGTGTAGCTCACTGTATCTAGTGGCGTACGTACGTGTATAGAGGAGGGGCGGGACTGATTAAGGGGACTGGTTTATAGCCGTACCTATTGTGTAATAGAGTGCACCTGACGGTTATTTGAATCTGTTCAACCATGAAGCCTCTCAGGGGCGTAGGCTGCAGGGGTGCGAGGAGTGCGGCCGCACCCACCCCCTAAAAAGGGAAAAAATGTTCCGCTGGGATAGGGGTGTCTATAAAACGAAGACCGAAGATCCAAAAACGAAGACCCCTATCTTTTCTCTTTTATTTTGATGATAATACACCAGGCTGTCACAAAATCAAAATTATTAATTTTTTTTGGGCGTCTGTTTATGAAATTTTCAAGGGTCTTCGTTTTGTAGACACCCTATCACCCTATATGGGTGTCTACAAAACGAAGACCGAAGACCCGAAAAACGAAGACCTCCAGTTATTTCTCAATTACCTTATTGAAAGAATTTCAAAATCATCATAAAACAGGTGCCAAGTACCTATTTCATTATTTTATCGGAATAAAATGAGGAATATCAAGAAATACTTAAGGGTCTTCGTTTTCTAGACACATAATGGGTGTCTACAAAACGAAGACCGAAGACCACAAAAACGAAGACCCACATTTTTTTCTCTCAATCGTGATGAAAATAATGTTTTTAAGTCACTTCATGCTATGCATATATCTAGTATTCGTCTTCTTAGCACATTGTTGCCTGAATCTGAGTCAATTTAATGATGTAAACTTTATTCCAGTTCCAAAGCGACAAACAATGTTGTACGTCCACGGCTGGTGGCTGAGCACGTCTTGGCGCTGCTACCCTCTAAAGGAAAGTAATTGGCTTGGCCTTGCGGTACGCTACGCATTTTGGGGGCCTACAAAACCTTGAATATTTCATTCATAAATTTGTTCCATGTTAAAATAAACAGTAGGAATGTGGTATAGTGACGCATATGTGCATCGGTCATTTGGTGGTGACACCAACATAGGATGGACGAGATAATTAAGGGTCTTCGTTTTATAGACACCCTATATGGGTGTCTACAAAACGAAGACCTAAGACCCGAAAAACGAAGACCCACATTTTTATTCTCTCAATCGTGATAAAATAATGAAATAGGTACTTGGCAACTGTTTTATGATGATTTTGAAATAGTTTCAATAAGATAATTGAGAAATAATTGGAGATCTTCTTTTTTGGGTCTTCGGTCTTCGTTTTGTACCCATATAGGGTGTCTATAACGAAGAACCTTAAAAATTTCACAAACAGACGCCCAAAAAAAATGTCGTAATTTTGATTTTGTGACAGCCTGGCGTATTATCATCAAAATGAAAGAGAAAAAATAGGGGTCTTCGTTTTTGGGTCTTCGGTCTTCGTTTTATAGACACCCGCTGGGATAGGCAGGCCTATGCGCCCTCGTATTCGTACGGCCGTCGTTTCTTTGAGGTTTCTTTCCAAAGACCCCGGATATATTCAAACTTTTTTATGGTGGTGGCCAGTTCCAATTTGCTGAGACCAGCGGCGGGCCGACATATGTTTTTTTTTTCAATGACAGCCCCACCCATTCACTATAGGCCTACAAGTCTATTATAGGCCTATATACCTATTAGAGTACAGGCCTGAGCCTGGCATAAGTAACATAACCGTGATGAGGCCTTGTTTTTTTGGTTTTTTTTAATGAGGGTGTTTTTTGGCAGTGACTCTCAGTTTTGCGCTGCTGACTCTCAGTTTTGCACTGCTGACTCTCAGTTTTGCGCTGCTGCCAATTGTATTTTGTCCTTTTGGCGTTCCATACACAACTGGTTAGCTAACAATATGCCAATGTAATTACACCTGGGAATGAAGGTGCACCACGTTCTGTTGCCTAGCAAACGTCTGTACTTTATGGGGGGGGGGGGGGCTACTGATGTACTGCGTAGGGGGACGATGAGGCACAATAAGACAAGGCCTAGGCCCAGGTCTAACTAGGCAGTGCAATTATATGTGATAGAAAGTACACTTTTGAAAGAAATAAATTAAAATAAGAAAAAAAATAACTAATTAGAGTAATTCAGTTTCAGAGGTACCTTGTTTAAGTATTATACAATGCTAACAATGCGGCTCTTGCAGCCCTAGCTAGGCAAGGCATCCATGTGCAAAGCAGTGGTGTTTGTTTATCCATGAAAAAAGCACGCCGGGAAAGTTTGCCTTAATTACCAGGAAAAGGTGACGTAATCTAGCTTATGACGTATGCATGCTAACTATATAGTGAGTGTGACGTCGCCAAAAATGAATATCTTTTATTATAACCAAAATATTAATATGTGGAAGAACGTGACTCAGTCAGACACAAATGAGTTATTCTTGGCTTTTTGTATTGTAAAAATGATGCTTTATTCGCGTCAAAATATATCCGCAAACAAAACACGTAATTATAGTGTATCGATACGTAACAGATGGACAAAGTTACAGCTATAACAACTATTACGCCCGTATTCTTAAAACAAACTTTAGTCGAACTTCGAACTAGAACTTCATTTAGTGCTAGTTGCATCTTTAACTTCAATTTGTATTCACAAACAATGTAGTCGAAGTTTTAACTACGACTAAATCAAGTCCTAGTTTTAGTTCAACTGAAGACGACTGGCAAGACACGACTATCAAACTAACCAATGAAAAGAGCTAACTTTTTTAGCAGACGAAATTTTAGAGATCCGGTAACGCGGATGAATATTAAGCTGCCGTCTGTGGTTTAAAAATGTATTTCCTCATAATTCATAATAGACCATCATTCCCTTAATTAATTTTCTATAATAATAACTATATTAGTTGTTAAACTATTACAATAGAGAATTTGAACAGACACTGAAAATTTGCTTTCTTTGGAGAACTATTATAGTTGAGCCCGAGCGAGGGCGGCGCCATCTTTGTTGTTGTTATTGTAAAGCTACGTGATCGCAACGCGAGGGGATTTCGTGCAAATCAGGAACTATCGCATGTGGCCAGCAAAACATGTTAATTTCTCATTCCAGAAGCTAAACTTGGTGTCTCTTTTGTTTAACACACCGAAGATATATCAAACCTGCGTATATAATCGTTTTTATTCGTTTCACTTTATCGTGAGTTACAAAAAACACGTTTTTAGTGGGGTAAA